CCAAAGAGAAGCAGCTACTGAAAGAGGGAAATGCATTCAACGTGTCATCCTTTGTCCTGCGGGCCATGATGAGTGGCCAGTACTGGCCTGAGGGTGACGAAGTCTACCATGCTGAGCTCACAGTCCCCGTCCTGCTTGTCCATGGCATGCATGACAAGTTCGTGCCAGTGGAGGAAGACCAGCGCATGGCTGAGGTAGGAGGAAGCACCGGGCTTCCGCTCTCAGGCCCTAGGGCTTGGCCTCCAGATATGTGTGGTTCCTGTACCCAGACGGCTTCAGCGTGGGGGGTGGCCCAGAAGTGCTGTGGTTTATGGCTGGGGTTGATCTCTAGACTGTTTCTGGGTGGGCTAGGTCCATCCCTATGGCTCTAGTTTGAACTCTGTCGTCTTGGGAAGCCTAAGATCCAGAGTCAAAGGTACAATCAAGAAAGCGGTGCTAGCCGGGCGCTGGTGGCTCACGCCTGTAATCCTAGCTACTCAGGAGGCTGAGATCTGAGGATCTCGGTTTAAAGCCAGCCCGGGCAGGAGAGACCGTGAGACTCCTATCTCCAATAAACCACCAGAAAACCGGAAGTGGCGCTGTAGCTCAAGTGGTAGAGCGCTCGCCTTGAGCTGAAGAGCTGAGGGACAGCGCCCAGGCCCAGAGTTCAAGCCCCACGACCAACAAAAAAAAAAAAAAAAGAAAGCGGTGCTTCCCTGGTCAGATGTGAATAGCTGTACACTGTCCCAGCTCAGGGGAGCAGATTTCACAGCTGAGAATTTATAGAAAGGACTAAGTAACACCTCTAGCTCTGAGAGAGGCGGGCCACAAGAGCTTCAGGGATTCTTAGCGTCCCAGATGTCTGCTGTAAGTGGTTCTGCTAGCCAGGAGACATTTCCTGGTGTCTCTTCGGTGGATGGAGGCCAGAGGTGCTGCTCAGCACCTCACAGCACCCAGGATGCCCCGCCTCAGAGACCCATCCCCAAGTTTCTGTGTCCTCAGCATGACAAGCTTGTCTGTCAGTCTGAGCTTCCCATCAGTGGGTGACTTTGCTCTCTGGGACATGTGACAATGTGTTGTTTTTTTTTGGGGGGGGGTTGATTACTTTAGCTACTGACATCTAATGGGCCAAGGCCAGGGTGCTGTGAACCCTCCTGCAGTGCACAGGACAGATCCCACCCAGAAGTTGAGACAGGCTGAGTCTGAGAAATCCTCCTGTGGGCAAAGGCAGAGTACAGGTGTACCTGTGGGCTTCTGCACAGTGTGGGGCCTCCCCCCTCCTCTTCCCTTCCTCCTCTCCAGCCCCCCTCCTCCCCTCCCTCCTCCTCCTCCATCCTGTTCCTCCCTCTTCCCCCTACCTCCTCCTCCCCTCCCCTTCCCTTCCTCCTCCCTTTCCCTTCCTCCTCCTCTCCCTTCCTCCTCCTCTCCAGCCTTCCTCCTCTCCAGCCCTTCTCCCCTCCCTCTCCTCCTCCCTTCCATCTCCTCCTCCTCCCCCTCCTTCCTCCTCCTCTCCCTCCCTCTTCCTCCCCTCCCTCCTCCTCCCCTCCCTTCCTCCTCCCTCTCCCTTCCTCCTCCTCTCCTTTCCTCCTCCCCCTCCTCCCTCTCCCTTCCTCCTCCTCTCCAGCCCTCCTCCCCTCCCTCTCCTCCTCCCCTCCCTCTCCTCCTCCCTTCCATCTCCTCCTCCTCCCCCTCCTTCCTCCTCCTTCCTCCTCCCTTCCCTCCTCCTCCCCTCCCTCCTCTTCCCCCTCCCTTCCTCCTCCCCCTCCCTCTCCCCCTCCCCCTCCCCCTCCTGGGGGCGGCCTCAGACCCGGGAGGCCCCAGGTGCCGCCCTGAGCCCTGCCTACGCCTGCGCAGATCCTGCTCCTGGCCTTCCTGAAGCTGATCGACGAAGGCAGCCACATGGTGATGCTGGAGTGCCCGGACACGGTCAACACGCTGCTGCACGAGTTCCTGCTGTGGGAGCCGGAGCCCTCGCCCAGGGCGCTGGCCGAGCCGCCGCCCGAGCCCGCCCAGGAGAAGTAGCCCGGGGCCAGCGGGGCATCTCGGTGAGCAGAGCCTGGCCCGGCGGAGCCGGGTCTGCAGCCGCAGCGCGGGGCAGGCTGGCACCCGGGTGGGCGGGGCCAGGCAGGGACACGCCCCAGGCAGACATTCCCCTCAGTGGCTGGGGACAGGCCCATAGATCAGACCACACCCCCAATGGGTGTGGCCACGCCAGGGGCAAACCCGCAGGTAGGCGGAGCCAGCCGGCCACGCCCCCAGCCCGGCAGGGTGGGGCTTCTGGGAGCTGGGGTCAGCCAAGACCTCTGGGAAGGACAGCCTTGTACAGAACCCCCCGCACCCCCTCGCCACGGCCGAGGCCAGCCCACCCCACGCTGTCTTTGGTGTCACCCTTGGGGTCTCCTCCCATTGCCTGCGACCCCACCCGCTCCTAATTCCTTGGCGCTGGGAACTGTTGTTATCCTGGGGGGCCCTGGGGAAGGGTCTGGCACCACCGAACCTGCACATCTCAAGTTGTAACTCAATAAAAAGAAGTGACAATCGGAGCCTCCAGGCCTGTGCTGGGTGACCTCAGGAAAGGGTCTTCACACACACACACACACACCCCTTCTAGCGTTCTCTTCCCTTCTGCAGCCTGGGCTGTCTGTTCCCTCCCCTCAGCTGGCCTGGCCTGGGCAGGGTTCCTGTGTCCAGGGTGAGCTTCCCGGCCCTAGCCCAGGGGATGCACCAGAGATGAGGAGCTTTGTCCTGTTGCACACACCAGGCCCTGGAGGCTCAGCAAGACCGGCAGCCAGCCCAGGCCCAGTCCAGAGTCTGCACCCCTGATCACCAGACCACCACTCTCCACATGCTACCTGCATCCTGATCACCAGACCACCACTCTCTCCACATGCTACCTGGGCACAGCCCACCTCTGGTTCCCTGAGATCTGAAGAGGGTGAGGAGGAAGGAGGAAGACCGCATGAGGCAGGCTCACCCAAGTCCCCAAACAAAATAAGCAACTTGCCCAGCTCCTTCCCCCTCTTCATGCTCTCTACTTGTATCTCCCTGTTTCTCTTCCCTTCTGGTTCCTGGAGTTTCACTCTCTATCCCTGCTCCTGCAGCCCTCCTCCCACCCCTCCCAGTGTCCATGCCATCTCTCTGCCCACCCTCCCCAGTCTTTTTTACTCTTTTCCCCAGTTTTACGAATCCACTTGGGTTTCTATGTTTTTCAGCAAGAAAGAAGTGTAAGAATCAGTAAATTTCAACATATCAACAATGGAGATGTCTAATCCTGGAACTCAGGGCCAGGGCCCTATCCCTGAGCCTCTCTGTGCCCAAGACTAGCACTTGACCATTTGAGTCACAGCCCCAGTTGTTGTTTCTTTTTTGTCGATCGTGGGGCTTAAACTCGGCCTGAGTGCTGTCCCTCAGCTCTTCAGCTTAAGGCTAGCACTCTACCCCTTGAGCTACAGCGCCACTTCTGGTTTTCTGGTGGTTTATTGGAGATGAGTCTTACGGAGGGCTGGGAAGGTGGTTCAGTAGTAGAGTGCTTGCCTTGCATGCTTGAGGCCCTGGGTTCAATTCCTCAGCACCACATAAGCAAAAAGGAAAAAGCCGGAAGTGGTGCTGTGGCTCAGGTGGTAGAGCGCTAGCCTTGAGCTGAAGAGCTGAGACAGCATCCAGGCCCAGAGTTCAGGCCCACTACCGGACCCCCCCCCCAAAAAAAAAAAAAAAAAGTCTCATGGACTTTCCTGCCTGGGCTGGCTTTGAACTGTGATCCTCAGATCTCAGGCTCCTGAGTAGCTAGGATGACAGGCATGAGACACTGGCCCTGGCACCACTTGACTGAAGATGAAGATGAGTGAATCACCAACACCACTGGGTGCTTTGTATGTGGGAGTACCATGGTGTCTGAACCTCGATGGGGAATGCACCACACAGCAAGATTTCCACTGGGCATCTTACTCCTGGAAGAGCTGTTTCCAATGGTGCTTTTATTGCTAGTTTTAAGTGCAACTATTAGTGAGAGAATGTGAGATATTGGAATACTGGGCAGTGCCAGGGTTCACCCCTAAGCTACGTCTAGACATCTCTATCTAGCTTATAGTGAGTCCTTCCTCTGCAAATGGCAAGATGTTGTTTTGGAAGAAGTGCAGCTAAGTTAGATGGGACCATGAAGGCTCAGGAAGGTGCCCTGGAGTGTGGTTGAAGTTGCTTTATAAAGATCTACTCAGGCCACCCAGGAATGCAATGTTTCTATCAGTCTTGGGCCAAGGAACATTGATTTTGATGTTTTTTTGCTTCATTGCTGGCCTGTCTTGTGCATGTTCTCTGCAGGGACCTCTGGAAATTCTGGCCTGATGCCTGGGCTGAGATGGACAGGACGTGTAGAGGTGTGAAGCACACATCTAATGTTTGGAATGGAAAGATTTCATCTGCCATTCCCTTTGGTCCTGGCAGGATCTTGGGGTGTGGAGAATCAACCCTGTCAACCACTAACCCTTTCAGGAACAAGTACAAGTTTCAGTATCCATGCCACAGGAGCCACACCCCCATAAGGTCACAACAGTCCTTGGTGGGTGTGTCCAGGTGCTAGCCCTTGAACTCAGGGCCTCTTGCTGTCCCTTCTCTTTTTCACTCATCTGGTGCTCTATCACTTGAACCTTGCTGCTACTTTTAGCTCCCTGCTGGTTGACTGGACACGAGTCCAATTCTCAGACTGAGTGGCTATGAACGGTGAGTCTCCGGAGTAGCTAGGATAACAGGCATGAGCCACCAGTGCGGGCCTTAGCTGTACTTCCATTCAGCTCTGCATTTTAACCAGCATTTGGTTGCAGCAAATGCACTCTATGCTTGGCCTCCTTTTGCAGTCTTCATGATGCTGTGATACCTGTTCAGAAGGTCAGGTCTGCTGTGCTGTACTCACTGGAGGGTGAGGGTCAGGGCCGGTGGTAGGGCCTGGTCACTGCATTTCACACTGTCCTACCCACTCAGCCCCTCCAGAGCCCACCAGCTCCCCTTCCACCTGCATCACCAGCTGATCACCATCATGTCTTTATTGAGTCCCCTGAAGGACCCCTGCTAGGGCCCACACACAGCCCACACTGGCTCAGTCCCAAACAGGACCAGAGTGACCTCCGCCTGTGCTTGGGAGGTGACAGCAGGCCATCCAGGAAGACACGCAGTGAGTGCTCCTTCCAGTTCCTCCCATGATGGGGAACTCAGGGCCACGCGTGGGCCTGTGTGTGGTGGGGTGGGATGTCTTTGGCCCCAGACGTCTGCACGCCCACTCTCCTCTGGGCTGCCAAGGGTGTAGGGTTAGCCATAGGCCTGGATGTCCGGAGGCCGCAGCTCTCGCTCCCCTTCAGCAAGGAAGACCAGGAGGGCACGATGCAGCAGGTGAACCCCCAGGCGCCGGCGCCGAGAAGGTGGCCAGCTCGCCACCACTCCATAGTAGTGCCCTTGTTTCTGGTTGGTCAGCCTCTGGATTCCTGGAGACATGGGGAGTGGGGTCACAGGGGTCACCTGGGGGTCTCTACCAGCAAAAAAAATGTGACAGGAAACATACTGTGGATGCCTTTAAGTGAAGACAAACAGGGAGCAGCTTACGTGGAGGCACAGGCACATTGACGGTGCTCAGTGACTGCTTTACTGACTGTGTAGATGAGCAACTCACAGCCCTGACAGGGGAAGGGGTGAGGGAAGGGCACACGAAATGCTCTTCCTGTGACCTTCGCCCCACAGGCCAGGCACCCACCTAGGGCATCCAGGAGACACGCCTCTCTCGTGTACGCCTCCACAGCCACCACGTGCTGGAAGCAGTGCAGGGAGACGACACCACGGCCACTGTCCCAGATGTCCAGGATCTGCCTCACCTTGGGGCAGGCCTAGGGGCCGGGGCAGGGTCACAGGTTGGTTCCCCAAAGCCTGCCCAAGCCTGGCTGCCTGAGCCAGACCCTCATCCTTCTCCTCACTTGTTTTCTTGGCTGCCCTCGATACCCAAGGGCCTCCCAGAGGTGAACATCTGGCCGGGTGCGTGTCCCCTTGCCCACATAGAAAATGGCTCGAACAAAAGTCTGAAGGCGCTCAGCCGGGGTCAGTGAGAAGGCTCGAGCTGGCAGGTCTTGTGTTTCCCTTGGGAACAAAGGGGCAAGTCAGAGCAGAAAGTGACGGCTCCCCTAAGTCAGCAACCCAAATCCACATACGCCATCACACTGTCCCTCAGCTCTTCAGCTCAAGGTGAACACTACCACTTGAGCCACAGCACCACTTCTGATTTTCTGGTGTTTTATTGGAGATAAGAGTCTCACAGACTTTTCTGCCCTGGCTGGCTTTGAGCTTTGGTCCTCAGATCTCAGCCTCCTGAGTAGCTAGGATGACAGGTGTGAGCCACGGGCGCCTGGCTCCATGACCCTATTTTGTAACCACAGAATGGAGGTTCTCCCCAAGAATACTCAGCCTTTTGAGCTGGGTCCAGTGCTTTTTATAAAGAAGCAGACGCTAGGTGTCAGTGGCTCACGCCTGTCATCCTAGCTACTCAGGAGGCTGAGACCTGAGGGTCGTGGTTCAAAGCCAGTCCTGGCAGGAAAGTCCGTGAGGCTCTTATCTCCAATTAACCACCAGAAAACTGGAAGTGGAGCTGTGCCTCAAGTGGTAGAGCGTTTGCCTTGACCTGAAGAGCTGAGGGACAGCGCCCAGGCCCTGAGTTCAAGACCCACAACTGATCCCCCCCACAACAAGAAGCTGATCTTTAGAGAGGGCCACCCTTTTACCTAAGGGCACAGAGCAAATAAGCCTCAATTTTTTTCCCTGTGGTACTGGAGGTGAATTTCAGGACCTTAGGCACACCCCAAGCTCAAAATTTTCTATCTCTTACTTCCAGGTCTTTATCACCCCTTGCTCCCAATACCTGGGGTCCAGCAGCAGATATACGAAGCTGGACTTCGCAGTCCCCTCCCGCCACCTCTTTGAGGGATTAGGCCGTCCAAATTGCAGGGCAAGGCAGTCTTCATCTGCCTGGGAGTCTGGGACACAGCCTGTTCGTAGGGCCTCAGCCAGCTGTGGGCTGTGTCCTGAAAAATCTGGGCCTGGGAGGGAGACAGTCAACTGTGATGCACGAGAAAGGCGGACTGAGGGCTAGAGGGTGTGTGTGTGTGTATCTGGGAATCTTGGAGGGCGTGTGCATGTATGTGTGTGTGTATACATGTGTGTACATGTGTGTGTCTTGGGATCCTGGGAGTTCCCAGGATGCCCAAAAGGGACGAACCAGAAGCAGCGTAGGCTTCTTCCAGACGGCGGAGATAGTGTGGCCGGGTGAAGGGTGTGATGGGGCCAGGACTGGTGCCCAGGGCTCGGAGTGCCCGCAGCAGCTCCAGGTCTGACATGGCAGAGACGGGCTGAGACTGGAAAGAAAGGACAGAGTCCCCGGCCCCAGAGGCCCCCTCCTCATCTTCTGTCAGCCACAGGGCTGCCACGTCATTATCAAAGGATGTCTGGAAGTGGGGGGAGGCAGGCAGTGGTCCTTGAGGAGGGCTGTGTACTGGGCTCCCATCAGGCAGGGCTGGAGAGCAGAGGGGAGGCTGGCCAGCCGCGTCCTCTGGGGAGGTGAGGGTCAGAGCCTGGAGCTGGGCACCCAGCTCTGTCTCCTGTCCGGCCGACCACAGTGGGCGACCTGCAGAGTCTGTGTCCCCCCGAGGAGGAGGCACACCCGGTGCCCCCTGCGAGGTCTGGGTCAGTGACCCGGCCCCGCGGGCAGTTCTGTCTTGGTCTGGGTCCTCCACTGCGGTGACAAAAGAGGCATCGGAGCTGCAGTCCCAGCCTACGGGTGAGGTGTCTGGGCTGCGCGCCTCGCCCAGGGGGGTCCGGAGAGCTGTGGAGACCAGCGCTGCAGGGCCTGAGACGCGGGGGCCTGAGGAGACACACGGGCCTGAGGGGTGGAGCGGGGTGGAACGGGGCAGGGGGAGGAGGGGGAAGGAGCGGGGAGACACAGGGCCCAGGATCCGGGTCACAGAAGCCGGGAGACAGGAGGGGCAGTCCGGCGCTCCCCGAGGTCAGGGTCCACTCACGCTCCGGCTCCTCCGGCTCCCGGCGCGGGGTCCCCGCCAGGCCCGGCTCCCGCAGGCCTCGCTCCCGCAGGATGCGCGCGCAGTCCGCCTGCCCCAGCCGCTCGGCCAGGTCCAGGGCGCGGAGTCCGTCCTGCAAGGGGAGGGCCTGGTCGGGTCGGGTCGGGTCGGCGGGGCCCGCGCTCCGCCCTCAGCCCGCGCGCCCACCCCGGCCCGGCTCGGACCTGGTCGCGCAGCTCGGGGTCGGCGCCTCGGCTCAGCAGGAGCTCCAGGGCCCCGCGGCAGCCCCAGGCCGCGGCCACGTGCACCGGGGTCAGCGCCTCCGCGGATCTGGGGCGGGAGGGAAGGCCCCGGGTGGGGTCGGGGCGGGGCGGTAGGGGAGGCCCCGGGGCAGAGCGGGTCGGGGTGGGAGGGAAGGCCCCGGGACGGGGCGGGTCGGGGTGGGAGGGAAGGCCCCGGGACGGGGCGGGTCGGGGTGGGAGGGAAGGCCCCGGGTGGGGTCGGGTCGGGGTGGGAGGGGAGGCCCCGGGTGGGGTCGGGTCGGGGCGGGAGGGAGGGAAGGCCCCGGGATGGGGCGGGTCGGGGTGGGAGGGGAGGCCCCGGGTGGGGTCGGGTCGGGTCGGGGCAGGAGGGAAGGCCCCAGGACGGGGTGGGTCGGAGTGGGAGGGGAGGCCCCGGGTGGGGTCGGGTCGGGGTCGGAGGGGAGGCCCCGGGTCAGGTCGGGTCGGGGTGGGAGGGGAGGCCCCGGGGTGGGTCGGGGTGGGAGGGGAGGCCCCGGATCGGGTCGGGTCGGGGTGGGAGGGGAGGCCCCGGGGCGGGTCGGGTCGGAGTGGGAGGGGAGGCCCCGGGGTGGGTCGGAGTGGGAGGGGAGGCCCCAGTTCGGGGTGGGAGGGGAGGCCCCGGGTCAGGTCGGGTCCGGGTGGGAGGGGAGGCCCCGGGTCCGGTCGGGGTGGGAGGGGAGGCCCCGGGGCGGGGCGGGTCGGGGTGGGAGGGGAGGCCCCGGGGCGGGGCGGGTCGGGGTGGGAGGGGAGGCCCCGGGGTGGGTCGGAGTGGGAGGGGAGGCCCCAGTTCGGGGTGGGAGGGGAGGCCCCGGGTCAGGTCGGGTCCGGGTGGGAGGGGAGGCCCCGGGTCCGGTCGGGGTGGGAGGGGAGGCCCCGGGGCGGGGCGGGTCGGGGTGGGAGGGGAGGCCCCGGGGCGGGTCGGGGTGGGAGGGGAGGCCCCGGGGCGGGGCGGGTCGGGGTCGGAGGGGAGGCCCCGGGGCCGGGCGGGGAGGATCTGGTCAGCAGACTCCTACACCCGCGCTGTTGCGGCCCAGCCCCGGCCTCCCGGGCCCTCTGCCGTGCGCCCGGACCCTCGAGCTTCCAGCCCGGTTCCCCCGCCGCTCCCGGGCCTCGCCCGCGGGCTCTCCCGGCTCCTCACCGAGTGTCGGGGTCTCCGCCGCCGCGCAGCAGCGCCCCAAGGCAGCGCAGGCCGCGCGCGCGCCGGGCGCCCGCAGCCAGGTGCACGGCCGCCACGCCGTCCGCCAGCACCAAGTTGGGGTTCGCGCCGCGGCGCAGCAGGTCCTCCACGGCCCTGCGGAGAGGGGTCAGCGGGGACCCGACCCCCGCCCGCGCCCCGGCGCCCGCCCCCGGCCCCGCCCTCACCTCGGCTCCTCCTCCCGCAGCGCCGCCCGCAGCCGCAGAGCCAGGCGGGTCGCGGCGTCCATGTCCCCGCTGCGCGGCCGCCTGCACATTTTCAGCTTCCCGCCGCAACCTACTGCGCACGCGCCGTCCCGCCCTCGCGCGTCTCCAGTCCCCGCCGCCACGCCCAGCCGCCGCCCTCACCCCCGTCCCCAACCCTCTCCAGCCCGTGGCCACGCCCACATCCAGCCCTCGCCCCGCCCACCCCCTCCAGCCCCGCCCTCGCCCCGCCCACCCCTCTCCAGCCCCGTCCTCGCCCCGTCCCATCCCTCTCCAGCCCTTGGCCACGCCCACATCCAGCCCCTCCCTCGCCCCGCCCACCCATCTCCAGCCCCTTGGCTACCACTTGAGCCACTCTCGGCTCTTTCTGTGTGTGTGGCACTGAGGAATTGAACCCAGGGCTTCATGCACTCTACCACTGAGCCACCTTCCCAGCCCAGGAGGGACCTTTTGATTTGGACATTTGATGTCTGAGTAGGAGCTGCTCTCAACTTTTCTCAGAGACAGATAAACTGAGGCTCAGGAGACGTAGGTAGGTGGTCAGCTTGATGCCCAGCCGGCTCAGGGCTGCGCGGAGGGGACGCGGAGCCTGGGGATGTGCCAGCGGCCGGTGCTCTGCAGAGGCACACAAGGACAAAGGCAGAGGAGCCCCTGAAGAGAGACCGCCCCCCCCCAGCTGGGCAGCGGGAGAGTTAGGGTGTCCCTTCATGTGGGGAGAGAAAAGGTCATCTCAGAAAAACGCCCACCCTTCCCGCCCCAAGGAGAGAGCAGAGGCACAAACGGACAAATCCCACCAAAAGACAAGGTCTTGAATGCACCCCGGCCTGGGTGTAGTTCAGTGACCCGGCAAGGCCCTCAGGTCCACTCGGCACCGCAGAGAAAATGACACAAGGATCATGTTGTCACCCGAGAAACTTCAATGTCAGTATTCCCAAACAGGGTTTTATTGGTACTTGGCCATTCCCACTCAGCGGCAAAATGGAGTGATGGTTGACAGGCCGCTGCAGATCCCAGGCAGCCGAGAAAAGCCACTTCCATACCCACCACCTTTCCCAAAGGTTCTTGGAGGAACTAGCCTGAAACTGCTCAAAAGTTCCCGCTGACCCTGGCCATATAAACCCTGCCACAACCAGACTCTATGGGACCTCTCTGGTCCGGACCAGGGAGTTCACCCATTAGCGTACCCTAATAGACTTTTCTTTCTTCACCTTTACCTCCTCCTATGTGTTCCTTCCTCACCTAAAACCTTACAATTGTGACTGATTGCCCTCCACACTAATCTGTCTGTCTGTCTGCCTGCCTGCCTGCCTGCCTGCCTGGCTGCCTGCCTTCCTTCCTTCCTTCCTACCTTCCTTCCTTCTTTCCTCCCTCCCTCCCTCTCTCCCTCTCTCCCTCTCTCTCTCTCTCTCTCCCTCTCTCTCTCTCTCTCTCTCTCTCTCTATTGTTTTTGTGGGTCGTGGGGCTTTAACTCAGCCTGGGTGCTGTCCCTCAGCTCTTCAGCTCAAGGTGAGCAAGCACTCTACCACTTGAGCCAAAGTGCCACTTCTGGTTTTCTGGTGGTTTATTGCAGATAACAATCTCATGGACATTCTTGCTTGGGCTGGCTTTGAACCTGGATCCTAAGATCTCAGCCTCCTGAGTAGCTAGGATGACAGGCATAAGCCACCGGTGCCCGGCTTAGAATTGTTTATGTATGGCTCAGAAACAGGTTGGAGCAGGTGTTGGGTTTCCCATTAGCTTCACAGAGCATGTTCGTGTTAAGGGATAAGTGAGGATTAAGGTCAGTGTTGTGGAAAGACGGTGAAGTCTGGCAAGGGACTGGGGAGGATTAGTGTTATAGAATGGGTCAGGCCCAGGGGGTGGGCTAGGGGTTGTGGTAGACAGTGTGAGGTTGGAGATTCTGTTAGGAAAGGTTTTAAGGTAAGAGTTTAGGAAACGTTGAGGGCTAGGGAACAGATGAGGGAGGACCTTGTGGGATGGGTGAGGGTTCTGGGAGTGGTTTGTGAAACAGGTCACAGAACAGGGGAGGGTGCATAATAGAGGTCCATGCTAGGGCGTGGGATCGGGTTGGGGTACGAGCTCTGGTGACGATGTGTTATGGTTAGGGGGTGCTTTTGCTTGGCGTTAGGGCATGTGTTTTGGTATGGGATAGTACTCAGAGTTTGTGAGTGGTCATATAGGGTTTTGGTTCTCTAGTCCTGCTCTTTCCCACACTCTCCTTTCTGGTGTCCCAGGGTTTGTCTTCCCCCTATGAGCAGGGACGTTCTCCTCATACTCTGTCTGAAACTTATGCAGAAAAGTCCATTTCTCTCACTAGAAAGCCTGTTGTTGTTGTTGTTGTTTTCCGGGTCCTGGGTCTTGAACTCAGGGTCTGGGCACTGTCCTTAGGCTTTTTTTGCTCAAGGCGAGCACTCTACCACATGAGCCACAGCACCACTTCCGGTTTTCTGGCGGTTAATTGGAGATAAGAGTCTCACGGACTTTACTGCCCAGTCTGTCTTTGAACCGCGATCCTCTGATCTCAATCTCCCCAGTAGCTAGGATGACAGGCGTGAGCCACCGGTGCCCAGCTTAAAGGGCATATTGAAGACTGTTGTCTAAGCAAACAGTTTAAAGCTTAAGGCAAGGGTGCTATATTTGGACAACATCCATCGCTACTCTCAAGGCAGCAGAAGCACCTGTGAAGAAGCTAGGTAGGTGAGGACGAAGCCTGGTCGGACTGTGATTGCCATGGACGGGATCCTCCTATTTAAAGGGCCCGTCCTTTCCTGCAGGAGCACGGAACCTGCTGGGGTGCCCCGAACCTTGATGGTCTGGTTCTGTGTGGCTCATCCCTCAAGAGCCGCCCATGACCGAGGGGTGGCGTGCGAACACCGAGGGGTGGTGTGTGATCACCGAGGGGTGGTGTGGTGTGTGATCACCGAGGGGTGGTGTGTGATCACCGAGGGGTGGTGTGTGAGCACCGAGGGGTGGTGTGTGAGCACCGAGGGGTGGTGTGGTGTGTGATCACCGAGGGGTGGTGTGTGATCACCTAGGGGTGGTGTGGTGTGTGATCACCGAGGGGTGGTGTGTGAACACCGAGGGGTGGTGTGGTGTGTTAACACCGAGGGGTGGTGTGGTGTGCGAACACCGAGGGGTGGTGTGGTGTGTGATCACCGAGGGGTGGTGTGTGAGCACCGAGGGGTGGTGTGGTGTGCGATCACCGAGGGGTGGTGTGTGAGCACCGAGGGGTGGTGTGGTGTGTGATCACCGAGGGGTGGTGTGTGAGCACCGAGGGGTGGTGTGGTGTGCGAACACCGAGGGGTGGTGTGCGAACACCGAGGGGTGGTGTGTGATCACCGAGGGGTGGTGTGTGAGCACCGAGGGGTGGTGTGGTGTGTGATCACCGAGGGGTGGTGTGTGATCACCGAGGGGTGGTGTGTGATCACCTAGGGGTGGTGTGGTGTGTGAACACTGAGGGGTGGTGTGTGAACACTGAGGGGTGGTGTGTGTGAGCACTGAGGTGTGGTGTGTGAACACTGAGGGGTGGTGTGTGAGCACTGAGGGGTGGTGTGTGAACACTGAGGTGTGGTGTGTGAACACTGAGGGGTGGTGTGTGAGCACCGAGGGGTGGTGTGTGTGAACACTGAGGTGTGGTGTGTGAACACTGAGGGGTGGTGTGTGAACACTGAGGGGTGGTGTGTGAACACTGAGGGGTGGTGTGTGTGAGCACTGAGGTGTGGTGTGTGAACACTGAGGTGTGGTGTGTGAACACTGAGGGGTGGTGTGTGAGCACCGAGGGGTGGTGTGTGTGAACACTGAGGTGTGGTGTGTGAACACTGAGGGGTGGTGTGTGAACACCGAGGGGTGGTGTGTGAACACCGAGGGGTGGTGTGTGAACACTGAGGGGTGGTGTGTGTGAGCACCGAGGGGTGGTGTGTGAGCACCGAGGGGTGGTGTGTGAACACTGAGGGGTGGTGTGTGTGAGCACTGAGGGGTGGTGTGGTGTGTGAACACTGAGGGGTGGTGTGTGAACACTGAGGGGTGGTGTGTGAGCACCGAGGGGTGGTGTGTGAACACTGAGGGGTGGTGTGTGTGAGCACTGAGGGGTGGTGTGTGTGAACACTGAGGGGTGGTGTGTGAACACCGAGGGGTGGTGTGTGATCACCGAGGGGTGGTGTGTGAACACCGAGGGGTGGTGTGTGATCACCGAGGGGTGGTGTGTGAACACCGAGGGGTGGTGTGTGAACACTGAGGGGTGGTGTGTGTGAACACTGAGGGGTGGTGTGTGAACACCGAGGGGTGGTGTGTGATCACCGAGGGGTGGTGTGTGAACACCGAGGGGTGGTGTGTGAACACTGAGGGGTGGTGTGTGTGAGCACTGAGGTGTGGTGTGTGAACACTGAGGGGTGGTGTGTGAGCACCGAGGGGTGGTGTGTGAACACCGAGGGGTGGTGTGTGAACACTGAGGGGTGGTGTGTGTGAGCACTGAGGTGTGGTGTGTGAACACTGAGGTGTGGTGTGTGAACACTGAGGGGTGGTGTGTGTGAGCACCGAGGGGTGGTGTGTGAACACTGAGGGGTGGTGTGTGAGCACCGAGGGGTGGTGTGTGAACACTGAGGGGTGGTGTGTGAGCACCGAGGGGTGGTGTGTGAGCACCGAGGGGTGGTGTGTGAGCACTGAGGTGTGGTGTGTGAACACTGAGGGGTGGTGTGTGAGCACCGAGGGGTGGTGTGTGAACACCGAGGGGTGGTGTGTGAACACTGAGGGGTGGTGTGTGTGAGCACTGAGGTGTGGTGTGTGAACACTGAGGTGTGGTGTGTGAACACTGAGGGGTGGTGTGTGTGAGCACCGAGGGGTGGTGTGTGAACACTGAGGGGTGGTGTGTGTGAGCACCGAGGGGTGGTGTGTGAACACTGAGGGGTGGTGTGTGTGAGCACCGAGGGGTGGTGTGTGAGCACCGAGGGGTGGTGTGTGTGAACACTGAGGGGTGGTGTGTGAGCACTGAGGTGTGGTGTGTGAACACTGAGGGGTGGTGTGTGATCACCGAGGGGTGG